TAATGCTGTATGGAGTATTGTAATGCTGTATGGAGTATTGTAATGCTTTATGGAGTAATTAAAGGTATTTGTTATTATAATGAGGAGTGTTAAGCGTGTAGCAATTCAATTGAACTAAAGCACATGGTTGAAATTTTCATTCCTACAAATTGACATGATCTGTTTTGACTGGCTTTTTTTTTTTTAACACCGCTGCTGCAGAAAGGACCTATTTTCAAAATTTGGGTTGTATCCAGTGGTGGGAAGGAAGCAGGGGAGACTTGTATCAGAGGCTGTGTTTAATGTCAATCAAAATGTTCACACACGGGCCAAGTACAGGTTAACCTGTCACTTCACTGCCAAGATATGCCAAATGGGGAAAAAAAAGTGCAAATATACATCTCAAGCTCTACAGAACTCAATGAAATGTACTGAAAACTGCCACAAAAAAGAGGGATTACAACTATAATTAGAAATCGCCCCATATGGTTTTTACTGTCCAATGTCAATCTTTCTTGGCAGCTGATGTTGGATTTATAAACACATTCTTTCCATTTAATTTCCCATTAACCAAAATACAACATAATTGTTAAACCTAAATGCACATGTTTTTAACACAGAGAAAAACTGGACCCTTTAAATATATATGTCAAAAAACATTCTTGTTTAAAACAAGAAATAAATTGTGAACAGTAACCCTCCCACTTAGTAGTTGGCTAAATATGCACAAGCATACTTACTGGTTGCCATTTTTTAAAATGGCAAATCATTTAAAATGAATGGCCAATTAATCAACCTGCAACATTAACTGCTGCATCCATCCATTATCTTTACCCGCTTGTGCCCATACCCAACAGTCACTGTGCAAGAGGTGAGCTACAACCTGGACAGGACTTCAGTCCATCACAGGGACACATAGAGACAATCGAGAAGAACAACCATTCACTCTCTCACTCACACCTAGAGACAATTTAGAGTTACCAATCAGCCTAACATGCATGTTTTTGGTCTGTGGGAGGAAACTCGAGTACCCGGATAAAACCCAAGCATGCACGGAGAGAACATGCAAACTCCACCCAGAAACCCACTACAGGTAAGACTTGAACTGGGGCGAGCTGAGAGGCGGCAGCTCTACCAACTGTGTCACCGTGCTGCCCATACAAATGTAATGTTTACCATTTAATGGTTGGGATCCAGCTACCCAGCTAGTAAAGTTCTTTTAAGAGAGTTTATATATCACAGATCATTTACAAGGAATAATGTACTGTTCAAAAGCATTACAAACATTTCCAGAAGCATTGTTGGTGTTACAATTAAATGTTCAATGAATGACGCATCAAAATAAATATCCAGGTCAGGGCTTGAATAAAAGTGGACCTCATTTTTTCCCATTTTTAATTAATTTATTTTGTTTTTGAAGACATTTAACAATCCATCCAAATGTCAGCCTGTTCCCGAGTTCTAGGTTAACAAGAAGTGGGTGGGTGATTCACTTGGAGTGACTGATAGAAGTCAAATGTGCATCACTGACCCAAACAGATAGTCTGGATCATGTCAAGCCAGGGGTAATTTATCTTCTTGACAAACAAAGTGTCCTAGTTTCATGTTTCAATAGGAAAATGGTTGTGGATCTACCTGCAGAGTCAGGCCAGACTGTGTTGGACTGGTGATACCTGAGCTTCATCTGCTTACTGTTGTTTTCTCATTGAACACAGATGTTTCCCCGCAACCCGCGCCCCAATCTATCTTCGATGTGTGCATTACCGCCCTGAAAAGAGTGTCGCCTATCTTTGTGATAAAAGTGGAAAGCCGTGTCTTGACCTGTTTGCAATTCTCTCTCTGCTGGCCAGTTCTCTTCTTTGAAATAATCATTTCATATTGTGAGAGAAGTTGCTTGAAGAACCAAAGGAAAAGTGTTTTTTTTTTTTTTTTTTTTAAGAAAATACAGTTGGCATTTCTATCGCTTTTCATTAATTATCATGTTACTATGCTAAACATCTAAAATATGCTATTATGCAGCTATTCTACTTAAATCTGATGAAGCCCTTTACATTATAAAGATTGATTTGTGAGTGAAAAAGAGAACTACAATGCATAGTCAAGCACCAACAGAAATGTGGAAAAACGGCATTTTTCCCCAAGCACTGCAGTTTTTACACAAGGAGGATCAGGCTGATATGTGTTTGCTTTGCAGTGCAAGGCTGTGATGTGATGGAATCAAAAAAAGCTAAGAGGGTTGTTAGTTTCAATTCTCTTCACTGCCAGTCTGTTATTTCCTTTGCCATCTTGCAGAATTGCTTCCTAATGCTGAGCACAGCCTCCAAGTTTGAACAAAAGTTACATTTTGTGCTTACTCAGTCTCTGTAGTTTGTATTTAGCATAAAGGCTCTAGTATTTCAGACAAGCCTGCAGGTTTGGACAGTTTACTTAACAGGCAGTTGAATGACATGTTCAGTTCTCTGAAAAAACTAATTGCTCATTTGCATTTTGTGGTTTAAATAACCGTCTAACTTTTACTGAGTGTGTAGGTTAGTTATAGGCTGATAAAAGTACAGTTATTTCCCTTCATAGCTCTGGAAATTGTAATGTTAAATACAGTATACGGTGCCCGTGCTACACAAACATTAGTTATGGTGATATACTAAGATGCATCGTTCATCAGTTTACTAAAGTTAAATAAGTGGAATACCGTAATTGCTGGTCTATAGAACACACCTGACTGTAAACCATGCATAGTAAATTTACAATAAAACACAGTTTTGTACATAAATAAGACATGCTGTTGTATAAGCCACAGGTCCACAATTTCATATCAGAAACTGTACACAGCTCCTTGTAGCATGTGCAGCTCTTGACGTAGTACAAGAATCAACCACCAGATGGTGTTTCATAGACTTTAGTTTGCTTTCAACATACAGATTGCTGATCCTCTCAGGACTTCATGATGACGTGCTCTCTGACTCATGGTCACTGACTCAGGGAACACGCCCTTTTGATCTCTTTTGCTGTGAGCAGTATTTAACGTACACAGAAATATTTTTTAAACAGTTATTTACATTTGCACCAGTAATATACACAAAATAGACATTTTTTTCCCCTTTCGGCTGCTCTCTGCGTTAGGGGTCACCACAGCGAACTAAGTCGCACAAAGACTTGGCAGGTTTTTTTTGTTCTTTTTTATGCCGGATGCCCTTCCTGACGCAACCGCAGACCACCGAGCTACCACAGTCCTCTGTGTGGAGCAGAGAGCTGCTATCTAGGACACCCGGAGGAGCAGATGGTGGGGGTTAAGGGCCTTGCTCAAGGGCTCAGAGTGGGGCAAATGAGAGTGGGGCAGGTGTGGGTGCTTCACCTACCCCACCTACATTTTTGATCTTGTACGTACAGGGGCTTGAATTGGCGATCTTCCGATCACAGGCCACCCTTCTCTAACCTCTGCGCCATCATTCCTAAAATAGGCTATGTACAGTATTTAATAATAATAATAATAAATATTCTGAAAAGCGGATCGTGCTTCCGAACAGATAGGGGAATGACAGTACCTCATGGGTCATTAGGGTGACTTCTGGTCACATTGTCACAGAGTGGGATTATGGGTATTTAGTAGCAAATTGGAAACATGAGCGAGAAGTACATGTCATGAATACCTGAGACATGAACTCTGTGTCAGAAGAACTTGTCCCCAAGAGCAATGTGTGCTGGGCAGCTCCCAGCTGTGGCAAAGGAAAATGTTACTTGGCAGCAGGAAGCTCATCAGCCCATCAAAGCAAAAATAAATAAATTAAATACAATACTAAAATATAAAAATACATAAATTAGTTGCAGCTGTGTACAAGCTGCAGAGTCCAAAGTGTGAGAAAAAAGTAGTGGCTTTTACACCAGACATTATGGTAGTTGTCTCAGGGTCCAGGATACATTGATGCAGAATTGGG